GAGGAAGGTTCACACACAGGCAATTTTGAATTTTGATTTTGAATTTGAAGGTTAGGTTATTGACAATTCGACAGTTTCGTGTCATTATTGTAAATTTTGTGTTCTTAAACCCTTCTTTATTATATTTTGAAATAAATACACTCATAACTTCAATGTTAATTTGTATGTTTAGTGTTGACGATAACAAACGAAATAAATACAATAATAAGTAAATTAATAAATAATAATAATTATTAATTTAAATTTACCGCCAAAATATCTAGTGATATTTTCTGGTGATTTTACCTAGTGTAAATCTGACTTTCGCGTTTACTCCTCCTGTTTTAAAAACAGAGTATAGTATTTCCGATGTTGAGTCAAATCAAGTTTACATAGAGACGACTCTATACATATATTTCTATGATGTCAAGTTTGCACAGAATGAAGTTGCATCAACACTGCATTATATCGAATGTTTCTAGTTCTAAGTCTAGTGTTAGTTCTAGTTTTAGTACAATAAAAATATGCAACATAGTGATATTTTATGCTAAACTGACCGGCAAAGAAAACCGGCCACTAAAATTTTACCACAATTTCAAAGCTGGGTTTCTTGCGAACCACTCATTCGATTTTGATGATTCCTTTTTTGATCGAAAGGTTAATTCTTCTGTAATAATCCTGCGATAGAAATTTTTATTCGGATATTAATTTGAGCATATACAGGGTGCAAGAATGAGAAAAGCATTTTTTCTCGAAATTTGTAACACCCTGTGGGGTGCTGATGCTACAACAGAGGGTTTTAACTGGAATTAAACGGTAACCCAATCTTTTCTGAACATTTTGTTTTTTTATTCACTCTGTTACTAACGAAGATGCAGTGTTTTAAAGCGAACGCCTGTGAAAACAAGACAAATAAGCATACAAAATCTAAGGTGGCGCGCTAGGTAGAGTATGTCAGTTGTTTCGAATAGTAAATTTCGAATAGTAAATTAAATTTGTTTTCTTGTTTATGTGTCCTTGTTTTTACCGCATATTAGAACTGAGAACAGATGTTTACAATAATGAAGGACGTACGCAATTCTGTAATTCTAAGAAAATGTAAGTGCTTCCCTAAAACTGTTTCGGATGCCCAGTTTTAGTTTTCAAGGTCAGTGATTTAAGGCGCCACTTTTAACAATGATTAAAATTCTGTATAGGCTTCTTTGGAAATTCCCAGCCACACCATCACAGAACCACCATCGAAACTTTCGCGTTTCATAATTGTATAGTCCACAAATCTCTCATTTCAACGTCTTCATATTCGCTCCTGACTATTGGATGATAGTAGACAAAACCACTACTCATCCGTAAAAAGGACCTCCATTGCACTACTCATTCCTCTATTGCTCGATCTCCCAATTCATATGTAAGCGCGCAGATTGAAGACGCGCACGTCGATATCTAGGAAGCAGCCTCGGCTCTTTGGCAGCCTTCTTGCAGCCAGACCAGTTCTAGCAAGTTTTCAGCGAATGGTTCTCTCACTGACATCAACAACACGCACCATTTGAAGACGATGCTGAGCCTATGCAGCTGTCGTTCTACGATTGCTTAAAACAATAAAACGGTCATCAGCTACTATTGTCACTCATCTTGTTTTCACAGGCGATCGCTTTAAAATGCTGCATCTTCGTTAGCAACAGAGATAATAGAGTGAATAAAAAAAGAAAATGCTCAGAAAAGATTGGGCTACTGTTTGATTCCAGGTAATACCCTCTGCTGTAGCAGCTGCACCCCACAGGGTGTTACAAATTTCGAGAATAAAAGTTCTTCTCATTTGTCTCACCCCGTATATGCTCAAATTAAAATCTGAACGAAAATTTCTATCGCAGGATTATTACAGAAGAATCAACCTTTCCATCAAAAAAAGAATCATCAAAATCGAATGCGCGGTTCGCGAGAAAGCCAGCTTTGAACTTGTGGCAAATTTATAGTGGCCGGTTTTTTTTGCCGGTCAGTTTACTTACCATTATCACTAGAACTAACATTAGACCTAGAAGGAAAAACATTCAGGTTTAGCCGTGTTAAGAGTCGCACGGCTAAACGGAATGTTTCTAGTTCCAGGTCTAGTGATAGTGCTAGTGCAAAACTAGAACTAACACTAGACCGAGAACTAGAAACATTCGGATTTAGCCTGACGTCTCTGAAGACGGCAAAACCCGAATGATTCTAGTTCTAGGTCTTGTGTTAGTTCTAGTGTTAGTGCATTAGACCTAGAACTACAAACATTCAGGTTTAGCCGTCTTAAGAGACGCATGACTAAACGGAATGTTTCTAGTTCTAGACCTAGTCTAGTGTTAGTCTAGATTTATTTGTTATTCAGCACTAGATTGTTGTATATTTTTATTGAAGTATAACGGACACTGTGTTTCCCGTATTGATCCGTTATATCGAGGTTTTACTGTAATGTCAAATTATATTGACACGTTGCATTTTATGTGGGACAAAATCCAAAGTAAGTCTTGTATATTTTTGTACAGGGTTTCCCAAAAGTAACGAATAAATTCGTTAAAACAATTAAGAAGAGTTTATGGAAAAATCACTGAAACGGGTCTAAAGATTTAAATTTTTTGCAATTGTTTGGTATAGATTTTAAATTTTTGCCGCCATTTTTAAACGAGTAATGACGTCATCAATATTTTTTTCAAATAGCAATATTCCATCTCTATTACGGAATATGAAAGAAGACTTTTTTTTGAATCTAGTACAGTCAATATTAATATTGATATTGTTGTATTTGTTATTTCTTTCCATTTTAAAGCATTAAATAAAATAACAATGTCTTCTCTTTGTACTTTTATTAAAAAATGGATTATTTGTTTTTAATTCTACCGGTTTCGGTTCAATAGTAGAACCATCTTCGGGAACGATCGAATTTCGTCAATTTATTTTTAAATCTCTTGTGATAGTTAACATGTTAAAAAAATTCTTTTCTTCAATTCACAAGAACTTGTGTTTTTGATAAATTATATATAATTAAAATTAAAAAAATTAAAATTAATTATATATATTATTTTTTAATAAAAGTACAAACAGAAGACATTGTTATTTTATTTAATATTAATATTGGTTACACAAGAAAATTTTCGAGAAAAAATATGTTAAAGTTTCATCATTTTCCATTTATTTAAGATAGCAAAATAGCAGTAGCTATGCGTAACCATGGCAACCAACTGTTTCAATATATCAAAAATTAATTGTCTTAATAAAATACCTAAAACAACTGGTTGCCATGGTTACGCATGGCTACTGCTATTTTTCTACCTCAAATGAATGGAAAATCATGAAACTTTAACACAATTTTTCTCGAAAATTTTCTTATGCAACTAATATTAATTTTGGCTGTACCAAATTCAGAAAAAAATCCTCTTTCATATTCCGTAATAAGAATGGGGGATTGCTATTTGAAAAAAATAGTGATGACATCACAACTAGCTTAAAAATGGCAAAAAGAAATTAAATCCTTAGACCCGTCTCGTTTTTATATGTTTTAACGAATTTATCCGTTACTTTCGGGAAGCACTGTATATTGCATCTTAAGTAAAATTCACTCTACAGGGTGGTTCAAATTCGATGTCCGAATAGGCTATCTCGGAAACTATAAGAGTTAGAAAAAAAATAGCTTACATGTCTCGATCTCTTTTTTTAAGTAAATTCCAATGTCGAAAACCTCAAAGCGCTATCGTCTTTTGTTTTTCCCCTAGAGGCCAAAATTGTAAATATCGTAAAACCAGCAAGTGCAATTATCTTGGTTATTATTATAGGTGGGGTATTATAACTATGACATTATATTGACACTTTTTTACAGAGAATTTGATGACGTAGTTAAAAAATTTTTTTGGTTTTAGATTTTGAGATATTATGACAATTTTCGTTTTTTTAAATAGAAACAACCACTGATTATTCGTTTATTAAATTCGTTATTTTTTTCTGATTACAAAAATATAGGGTTCGACAGGTCTATTTCTTATTGTTTTTGAATAAATCTAAAACTAAACTTTTTTTATAAAATTTCATAACGCTGCCGAAATCTAGTGTCGTCGAAGAAATGAAATTTACAGTTTCCTGTAAATTACGGAGTATTATTTTTCTGGAATTTAAAAACAAATAATTATGTTTATTACACCAACTGTTAATACGGAAATATTTAATAGATTGCATTGTTTTGAATTGGAGAAATAAGTTTTTTTAATTTTTAGCTACAGTACCGTAATTTACAGGAAACTGTAAATTTAATTTCTTCCACGACACTAAAAAAAAAGTTTATTTTTAGATTTATTCTAAAACAATAAGAAATAGACCTGTCGAACGCTATATTTTTGTAATCAGAAAAAAATAACGAATTCAATAAGCGAATAAAGTGGTTGTTTCCATTAGAAAAAACGAAAATTATGATAATATGTCAAAATCTAAAACTGAAAAAAATTTTTTGACTACGTCATCAAATTCTCTGTAAAAAAGTGTCCATATAATGTCTTAGTTATAATACTCCACCTATAATAATAACCAAGATAATTGCACTTGCTAATTTTACGATATTTTCAATTTTGGCCTCTAGGGGAAAAACAAATAGCATATTCGGACATCGAATTTGAACCACCCTGTACATATTTCCTAGAAAGTGACAACAACCAGTAAATAATTAACAATTAAAAACCAAAAATTAATAGAATACTAGTATAAATTTGACTAGATTGTGTTAAATACGCTATTTTTCTAAATATTTTCCACTACGGTGCTATTTGACTTACTCTAATTTTCTAAAGTAGTAATATATTGACTATTTAATTAAATCTGATGCGTATAAATCTCCAGCCAAATGTGTAATTTAACATAACAGATCAAAACAACATACTTTTACCATTTAGTATTACAATCAACTATTTTACCACGTTCTATGTAACTTATGCTTTTAAATTACGTATAATATCTTTCTTCTTCGGTAATTTCGTCATCTCCTATTAACACTATTGGCAAAACTATGGCAGCTAATACACAAATACCCACAGTTACTATTAAAATAACTTTAAAAGTTTTTGTTGTTAAACAAGCGTACATATTGATTGAGTGCAACGAATTGAATGGATCGTTTCATTGCAAATATTGTTTCGGCTTTCTTTTAAACGAGTTTGATTAGAGGTTATAAATGAATTTTATACCAAAACATAAACAACGATAAAACAATTGGAAGATTAGTAACGATAATATTGAGGTGTCACAAAAAGTTATTTTTTATATCGTTCTTTTTGGTATTAGGGGATATCGGCAATAAACAAACGATTATTTATTGTTTTATTTTTTAATGGATTCTTTTAAGGTTAACCAATTCAACCGCTTTCACCGTTTGCCCTTGTTCTTTTATTCTTTGAGATAAAAAGTAAACAACATATTTTTTGTCATTGAACATTGTTAGAACTACATTTGTTGAAATGCATAAAAGAATTGATTATCTTGAAGGTGAAATATTTTTAAGATTAATTGAGTTGACGTCATAATTGTTAGATAGACGAACAACGCATTAATTTATGAGCGTACATTTTCCGTGTTTGCATTGCAAAATACCGAGAGGAAATATTGTAGTTGAGAGAACTTGGAAAATTTATTGATAACGTGTTTGAAATTGTTTCAAAAAGTGCAAACATAAAAAAATGAACCTTTTTTTTTCAAAAAGCGATTTTCTTATCTTTTTTATCTTTTATCTACGGTCGCTATTCACTTTCTTATCGTGGTATTTCAGTTGCCTAACTAAAATTTTTTACAAACCTAATATTTTTACAAATTCAATTAAACATCACTTACCCTTCGACGAAAACGAAGTTTACAAGAACCGCAACCGCGATGTGTTTAAGTATGGTCGCGGACATGGTGTTTTTTCGAAACGACTTTGCTTGGCTTATTTATAGGAACGGTTGAGTAACGTTGACCCCTGACCGGTTCTGCTGTTTACCAATGTCTTCTTTGTCCCATAAAAAAATACCAAATTATCTTAAACTATTAGCAGACTAGTTAATTTTTTCGCGCGGAACAAGCTCAATAACTGTTCTTTTATTTATGTGATTGTTTTATTTCACATCGTCGCACTTTCACAGACAACTTATAACAGGCTTCGGCTGTGAACTAATTTAATATAACTCGACTCGGTTTGGCTTCGGAAACTCACTACAAAAGCGGTAGACGAGAAACGTTGTAGTGAAAGCCATCGCTTTGGAACTTAAATATCAAAAAAAAAAATTAAAGTAAATATTCTTGAAGTGAAGATTTTTATTTTTTATTCTACGATGTATCTAATCAATAAACCAAGGTTGTTTTAATTAATTAATGTATATGAAGGTCAAATAACAGAAAATTGGTATTAAATATTTAAAATTTTTCAAGTTTATTTAACTTTAGTAATACAAAAAAATTTAATCTAAAACTTACTAATTGATTATATTTGCATTTGGCGCCTATTTTCTAAATTAAATGTTTATCTACATTACTAAGCATACTTAATTTTTATTGATTTAAATGACAAAAATGATAATGATAAATATTCAATAAAAAATTACATTAAATACGCAGCGACGATTGATGAAAAAATCAACATTGTTAATGCTTTAATAAATGATCCAAAACCTCTTCCAACTTCCCCACCATCCAAATTATAAACTCGCCCAAATATTCCAAAAGCCATGATATCATTAGCTCTCTCTATGGTCATTGCAATTTCAACTTGCCCATCTTCTATATCTCCCTCGCAATAAGTGTACAAAGTTAAAGGACGTAAAGAGCTGCTAAGAGTCGATGGTATGTAAAAAGTATCTTGGTTCGTTGGAACGTGAGTTTTTATGGTAACCCTTGAGAACTCTACGTTAAAAGCCGATGGTCTCATACTACACGATGATGAATTATCATTTTGGCAAGCCACCAAAGCGCAACTTCTTACTCCTAACGTTGAAAGTGGATTGCTCATCGATCGAATACCATAAAAAGCGGCAACTCTAAAAATTAAAATTAAATTGGCTTTTTATTCTTGGTAAAAAATGTATAACAAACTTGTAAACTGTGCTGGTATTTGTTAAAGGAGAATTAAAGGCGATGTCGTATTCGCAACAAAAATCACTTCCTTCGCTACAAACTTCACTGGTGGTCACATTTACTCCAAGTTCCAAATCGACGAAAGTGTAAAGTTCCATGTTTTCGAAATTTAATCCAAAATTATCTACGGTGGGAGGTTGTCCACCGATTCTTGGGATTACCTATTATTAAAACGCAAAATATATAGAGAGTGAACAAAGGTCTGGAAACGTCTAATTTTCCCCTAAATGAGTAGAGCATAAAATTTGGGATCTAAAGTTTATCTTATAGCAAATTATCTTATAGTGAATGATAAGGGTGGAACGGATATCCGGCAATTATCCGGATATTAAAAACCTATTACTTAATACTCCACCATTCTCAGAAATTAGTGGGTGTTAGTTAGGTGTTGGACACTGCAGATAATAATCAAGTTCAACCCCAATAGGACTTTTTTCAATAAATACAACTTTATTTATATCAGGTTTATCCTTAGTGTTTAACCTCATTGTAACAATCCCAACACGATATAGAAAATCTATTGTTGCAGTTTCGTCTAGTTTTCTTCTCTTCGCTTGTAATTCAACAACACATTCATTACTAACAGAACTGTCGCTGTTATCACTTTCGATTATTAATTAAAGTATCCTGTTTATAATGCAAAAAGCCGTTTTGAAAAATCACTTTCAGTTCTTGAGAAATAAATTTTTGAAATGATCGACAATTTTTTTCAATTTTCGCCAATTAAGTTTTAAAAATTCGTATAAAATCCAGTTCTTGGAATATGAGTATGAAAATTTCCCAAAGTGTTAACAAAAGTGTCCTCTTTCCAATAAACCAACCCGTTTTGAAAAATAACTTTTAGTTTTTGAGAAAACAATATTTGAAGTTTTGATAAAATTTTCGATGTTGCAATTTTCATCGATAACTTTCAAAATTCGCTATA